TCTCCCCTCTCTACACTCTTCTTGCATAATGTTGCCTTTCTTAATATATTTTCAAATTGTGCGAGTTTAGATGGCACCTTTGTGAGCTAGGTCAACATATCAAACAAGAACACTAGCCCCCCTCCCTTAATCGAATAATTATCCAACCCTTCTCTCTCACTTTCCAAAATAAATGGAAAACCTGATTCTATTTCCACTTTATTTACAACTTTATAAAGCTTCAACTACAGCCAAATCAGAACAGTTTATAGTTTCATACTAAAACACCCCTTGGATTAAGCGACTTGCTTTTAATAAGCGACTCTCCTTTTAGTCACAACTTGAAATTCGTGCCTAGGTGCTTATTCAAGGTAATGCATGTAAAGTTATTAAATGTGGTGAAGCAAAGACCTTCGTGTACCAGTCATTTCTGATTGGGATGAAGCTATATAATATAAGTAGTATTTCTGTAACAGTTTCTTGTCTTTCTGCTTCACTTTCAACTTAAAAGGATATGTACGGAAATACCGGTAGAACTTTATTAATTAAAGCATTGTTTGAGAAGAAATGAGTTAGTTTTCAAACATAGAACAGTGTTGATCAAAGAAGAGCTATTTACATGTATTCATGTTTGCTTACATGTCATCCAGCACAAATGGATCAAACATATCAATAATGATTTTCCATGTATCTCTTTTCTACAAAATTCTCGTCACTCTAATGACTTTTTCAATGAAGCTAAAAGGAGGCAAAAGATTCTCTTCCTTATACTTATAGTTAGCACTAATATAGTAAACGCGTTTAAAATCTGAGCCTCGCAAGTGTTTGGTTGATTTAATGTGTGCATAATTTATATTTTTTCATATTCATCAGATTCAGGTACAGTTCTGTGTGATTCAACAGAAGAAGAATTGAAAAATGAAAAGGAAGTCTTTACAGCATTATGTACGGCTGTAGAAGGTATATACCTTTTATATCATTCAACCAATTTTGGAATTGGGAAATGTGAAGGGATGGGCGGGGAGGGGGTAGAAGAATATAGATTAATACAGAGCAGGAAATTACGGAAAAGAAGGGACTGGCAGTACGGATATTAGACTTTGTACTCATATTGTGTAACAGTTGTATTCCATTTCTTTGGTTTCATTCCTTTAGTTTACAATGTTGACCCACGTGTAATTTCTCACAACATCTTAATTTAGAGCCTCTTCTCGCAAGAAGGGGCACAAATTTGTTTTTAGACAGAAAATTGGGTAAGTTGTAAAGCACAACAAAGCCTGCCACGATATGATTTTTTTTTACAACTGTCAATAACCTTTAATACCAAGAACATAGCTGGTCGGCAAATGCTGAAAATTAGTGATTTAAGTGCCCCTCTCTCTAAGAGCGTTCCTCTCGACTTCCCGTCGGAGAAAAGTTTTCTTTCATTTCTTGCCCACGAGAAAGGTTTAGGGTACATGTTTCAAAAATAGTTAAGTTGTTCTCCAGTTCTTTTTTTTTACGTCGCCACAAGTCAAAAATGATTTTTGGCCAGCCATCCATGTGGACAGCGATCGAAAGTGTAAATTTCAAAGATTTTGTCCAGCGCGCAGCGACTGCAACAATGTAGCTCACGGAATGCTATCTTGATACAAGTTACAAGATGTATTCATTTAGTTCACAGACAAAATATGGAAACTTCAGCTGAAATATTTTTGATACCAGCGTGATCAGAGGAGACCTTTTTCTTCGACCTTAATTTGCATATCAAAATTTACTACTTTGTACTAAAGAATTCTCAAAATGTAGGCGTTAATCGGGCTGAAAAAGCATATCAGTGCATAGATTATACACCAATGACGTCACGGATTGCCTCAAACCCGCGGGTATATCTCTAGCTTCCATCCACCAACTTCTTGCTCAATTGGGCTGGTGTCAAAGATCATTTGCATGATTCTGAAAATTGACCAAGATCTCCTTTTGACCGTTCGAACTTCGTTCGCTTATCTTCTGCGTTGAGGATTTTAGGTTTTCATGGCAACTGAATGGAGAATAGATGCTGAGTTTTCCTAAAACGTTGCGTAAACGTGATCGGTCGTAACGCTTGCGCGCTTGCGTGACTTACAAAGTAGACAAAGGTGATCGGAAGGCGCCTTCGCGATAATTTACGTTGAAATATCAGGTCATGAACTACGTACAGTGTGGAGAAGATCAAAATTAAAGAATAAAATTTGGCACTTTGGTCATAACAGACATATCGCGTTGCTTAAAAGTACCCAAAAACAAGTTAAAATTGGTTGCAGTGTTTATATTTACAAAACAACACGCATACGCTCTGAAACAATTCTTGCAGTTTCTCCCAAGATTTGGTTCACGGAACCCGATGAACTAGCCCTTCTTTCTGCAAATTTTCCGTCATTAATGATGTTACGTTCTTATGGACCACAACGGTTTTGAGCGACAAACTCGACATTTCCCTGCCACCATCAAATTCAATTGGACAAACCCAGCTTGATGTATTACGTGACGTGATTGTGCAGACTTCTCTTTGTCATGTGACCTCTTTTGCGTGTTCTACAAGTTGAAACCCAAATTAGTTAGTGTAACGAATTAGAATCGAAAGTTATTGAAATGGACTGAAGAATTTTACATTTTAATGAGAATTTTATCTTTGAAAATGTTTACTTGATTCATGGAAAGCAAACATTAGAGTGGCTTTGGGTATTTCAGCCCTGGTTTGGAAAAATTTAACAGTTATGGGTACGTTCTAAACATCAGAACACCTGAGAGGACAGTGGAAATGTAGTAAAGGTATTTTTTAGCATCCAGAGCAAAAAGAAGAATGTCAGGCAGTGAAAAGAGACTGAGTTTTCAACGCCATTTGTCGTAAAAGCTGCCACCAGCTTGTTATAGAACTCACTAAAATTTACCTGGATGGCATTAACTTTCTTTTGTCGTGAAACTCGTGGATTTTAAAACTTTGAAACGACGTACGATGAATCCTGAAACTGGAGTTTGAGTCCATCGGCAAACTATGCCAGCTGGTCTCATGAGCAGATCAAGCGCTGACGAAATTTGACAGTTTTGAAATTTTAAGCGGATGCAAAAATCGAGACAAAATTCGTCATGACACAGTTTGTCCTTTGATTTAGTCAAGAGAATTCTGGTTTTGTCTGCTAGTGCAAATAGCCCAGATAGGCACTTACGAATCAATTTTTAGGTAAATAATAGCCTCCACTCTCGAGAAATTGCAAATATATTACCCATGTGATCCGACTACAACTTTTAACTACGACTACAACTTTCCGAAAACTTCGAAAACATCTCCAGTCAGTCTGGCTTGCTTCACTGCCTCACATTTTCCCTTGTGCTGTGGCTGTTAACAAGTACTTTCACCGCATTTCCAATGTTTCTTAAAGTGTTCGGATGTTCAGAACATACCAATTACTGTTACATTTTTTTCCATATCGTGGTCAAACTGACCGGAACGAAACAAAATTAACTTGTAATCGACGATTTCGATGGATAGCTGATAGTGCTTCAAATAACTCGATACGTCGTCCCAGCATTCCAGGAGAGAAATCAGGGCTGAAATACCCAAAGCCACTCCAATCTTTGCTTTCCATGAATCATGTAAACCTTTTTAAAAGTTAAAATTCTCATTCAAATGTAAAATTCTTCGATACATTTTAATAACTTTCGATTCTAATTCGTTGCATTAACTAATTTTGGTTTCAATTTGTAGAACCCGCGAAACAAGCCATATGGCAATGGGAGAAATTTGCACAATCACGTCACGCAATATATCAAGCCGGGTTGTCAAGTTGATTTTGATGGTCGCAAGGAAATTTCGAGTTTATCGCTCAAAACTGTTGTGGTCCATTCGGGAGAAACTGGAAGAATTGTTTCAGAGTGTATGCGTGTTGCTTTGTAAATGTAGACACTGTAACCTATTTTGCCTTTTTTTGGTGTCCTTTTAAGCAACGCGATATGTGTGTAATGACCAAAGTGCCAAATTTTATTCTTTAATTTTGATCTTCTCCACACTGTGCGTAGTTCATGACCTGATATTTGAACGTAAATTATCGCGAAGGCGCCCTCCGATCACCTTTGTCTACTTTGTAAGTCACGCAAGCGTGCAGGCGTTACGACCGATCACGTTTACGCAACGTTTTAGGACAACTCGGCATCTATTCTCCATTCAGTTACTATGAAAACCTAAAATCCTCAACGCAGAAGATAAACGAACGAAGTTTGAACGGTCAAAAGGAGATCTTGGTCAATTTTTAGAATCATGCAAATGATCTTTGACACCAGCCCAATTGAGCAAACACATGGATTTGCGTTGTTTTTAAGAAGTTGGTGGATGGAAGCTAGAGATATACCTGCGGGTTTGAGGCAATCCGTAACCTCATTGGTGTATAAAATATGCACTGATATGCTTTTTTAGCCAGATTAGCGCCTGCATTTTGAGAATTCTTTTGTACAAAGTAGTGACCAACCAGAGTGCATGCATATCTTTAGTCACCAGAGCAATTATACCTATCAGTTATCATTATTATCATAATTAGTATTACTATATTTGTTATTGGTCCAATTTTCTTGTTACCTAATTTTCCTCCCGACGGCACTAGTTCCAAAATAAATCTCATTTCTCTACATCCTCCTTGGAGTTTGATGCCAATCTTAATTTCCTTTCACATTATATGATTTTAGGCGGCACTTCTGTGAGCGAGGACAACAAGGAATTGAATCAGTTACACTCTGCTGAAAGAGACAGTGACGTCACTGAGATGAAATCGACGCTTCCTCGTGGGTTTTCTGTTGACTGCAGGAACACAACAGGCAGAACGCCGCTAATGAATGCTGCTTTGAAGGGCAACGTTCAAGTGGTGAAGAGTATAATAAAAAGGGAAGCAGATCCGTCCCTGATGGACAACAGAGGATTGAACACGTTACATTATGCCGCTCAGGGCGGGAACACTGATATTATATCTCTAATCCATACTCACCTGCCTGACATTGACTCAAAAACAAGGGAGGGTGACACGCCACTAATGTTGGCGGCTTTGAATGGCAAGTTACGTGCAGTGAAATGGTTTCTTGAGAGGGGGGCAACTGTGGCCTGTGAAGAGAAAAGAGGATGGAACACATTACATCATGCCGCACAGGGCGGAGACACTGATATTATATCTCTAATCCATACTCACCTGCCCAACATTGACTCAAAAACAAGGGAGGGTGACACGCCACTAATGTTGGCGGCTTTGTGTGGCAAATTACATGCAGTGAAATGGTTTCTTGAGAAGGGGGCAACTGTAGCCTGTGAAAACAACGTAGGATGGAACACGTTACATTATGCCGCACAGGGCGGAGACACTGATATTATATCTCTAATCCATACCCACCTGCCCAACATTGAGTCAAAAACAGGCAACGGCTACACGCCACTAATGGTGGCGGCTTTCCGTGGCGAATTACTTGCAGTGAAATGGTTTCTTGAGAAGGGGGCAACTGTAGCCTGTAAAGACAGCAGAGGATGGAACACGTTACATCATGCCGCACGGGGCGGAGACACTGATATTATATCTCTAATCCATACTCACCTGCCCAACATTGACTCAAAAACAGGGGAGGGTATCACGCCACTAATGGTGGCGACTTTGTGGGGCAAATTGCATGCAGTGAAATGGTTTCTTGAGAAGGGGGCCACTGTAGCCTGTGAAAACAACGTAGGATGGAACACGTTACATTATGCCGCACAGGGCGGAGACACTGATATTATATCTCTAATCCATACTCACCTGCCCAACATTGACTCAAAAACAAGCAACGGCTACACGCCACTAATGGTGGCGGCTTCGCATGGCGAATTACTTGCAGTGAAATGGTTTCTTGAGAAGGGGGCAACTGTAGCCTGTGAAAACAACATAGGATGGAACACGTTGCATTATGCCGCAATGGGCGGAGACACTGATATTATATCTCTAATCCATACTCACCTGCCCAACATTGAGTCAAAAACAAGCAACGGCTTCACGCCACTAATGGTGGCAGCTTTCCGTGGCAAATTACATGCAGTGAAATGGTTTCTTGAGAAGGGAGCAACTGTAACTTCTGTTGAGAGCCATGGATGGAATATATTACATGGTGCCGCACAGAGCGGTGACCCTGATACCATTGATCTTATCCTTACCCACCTGACGGACATTGAGTCAAAAACTGTTTATGGTGAAACACCTCTTATCATTGCTGTTCGTCTGGGCAAGCTGCAGGGTGTAAAGTGTCTTCTTGAGAGGGGAGCCAATCCTTTGGCTGAAGATAACAAAGGACAGAATTCTCTATATCACGCCTCATCATGTGACTCAGATTTCTTTGACTTGCTGATGCGTTACGCATGATTAACTCAGGTTGGTGAAGTAAGCTTTACAGGTTATTTTATGTTTGCTTAATTCTTCAATGTCAAAATGTAACTCACTGGTTTGTTAGTTCCGTCAACTTCAAAGCCGTTCTTTTTACTAAGTGATCTATTGCTGCAAATGAAGGTTTTTAACAGGCTGTGTGTTATTTGATATTTTACCAACTAGACTAACTTACAATCTGTACAACTTGTGAGCTGTTTAACGGTTTCGGTACGGAATAGCTTATGTTGTTAAAGTTGAACTTGAGCCTGGGCCTCCTGTGGCACGTTGGCTGAGTGTAATGATTTAGTTCTTTGAAGCTAGTTGATTTCAACACTGTGTGCATACAGGCCTTATTCTCAGAATTTGCTTATCCAGCTTTTGAGAGTTTTCATGAGATAAAAGTTATACAAGTCACCCGAAGACAAAAGTCAGTGGCATTTGGACAGAGCACAGCCATAAGTTTAAAACATATGAATGATCCGAATGAATCGTATGTTGCGGTGTTAGTGCTGGGCTGCATTTGGCATGAGACGATATGTACCAAGATATGCAGCTTCTTAGAGCAGCGTGTTCTTGTTCAATTGTCGTAGGAATCTTCATTTCTCTTCCTAAAATACTCATTGGTTTTGTCTCTTAGGTTGCAACGTATTAATTTCAATGACAGAAGGGAATGTTTTCTGCAATGTTACCGGCCTCTTTATTTTTTTATTTAAGACGTTTTAAAATTAATGTGATTTTGTATATTTTTCACAATTAAATAGGTTATTTTTTACCATATAACTTTTTATTATTATAGAACATAAAATGTAATATAACGGCTGTGTAGTTTCATGCAAAAGTTGGAAATATGAACATAAATTACATTTCGTTGAACAAGTTTGTCTCAGTAAAGTAAATGGTTTGAACCCAGGAGTATCAGTAGTTCGTGTAGTGTGATCGTCCGGGTGGGTGTAGTTCTGAAAAGAACTGTTGTTGGTGACTGACGTTTCGACTATCTGTGCGGTAGTCATCTTCAGAGTCAAGTGAAGAATAGTTGTCAGTCGATGATGTTATAAAGTTTGGTCTGTTGAACGTGATTGGTCTGTTAAGCCGTGATGTGATTGGCTGGAAGACTCGTGTAGAGTTTGTTAACAGTCATTGGTCGGTTTCGATCCGTCTGTTGGTTGTCGGTCTGTTTGTCTGTTTGTTCACGTCGTTAATGAGTCGTTTGTAAGGTGCTGGTAATTGTTGACATCTGTTGAGAGGCGTCTGTTCTAATTTAGTAAACCAGCTTTCCAGAGTCAGTCGTTGAAAATAGTTTGTACTGTAGGTTAAGCATTTAGCAGAGTCCCAGTCGATTCTGTAATTAGTTTGTCGGTGATGTTCAGAAATGTGATTGTTTACATCGCCATTTCTAGTTGCTCGTTTGTGTTCAGTTAGTCGCGTGTTAAGGTTTCTACCAGTCTCACCAATGTAGGAGGCCTGGCAGTCGGAGCATTCGATCTTATAAATCGCTCCCTGTCTGTTGTTGGGTTCGTCTTTGTCTTTAACGTTGGTCAGCATCTGTTTGTGCATTATCAGTGAAGCTATGTCGAAAATTAGATCATTTTAAAATGAATTAGAAGTGACATGACTTTTCTTAGGCAAACTGAAATGAATAAACACTCGTAATTTTTAAAAAGACAACGAATTGCACACGCCCTACGGGCACGTGCAATTAATATGGTTTAAAAAATTAAAAATTAAAAAAACTGGGGTATTTATACCAAATGTCACTCGAAGTAGTGCGATTACCTGTACCAATAAAGAATGATAACATCACTGAGCGGCACCAATTACAACTAATTTTTAAGTAACCTTTGTAAGGGACTATAACAGTAGTCAATAAAATTTTATATCACCGAACGAAAGAAAGTCTTGTTTGTCAACGGGAACGATTTGATATTTCTAGCGTTTGGGAAAGCAGTGTAAAAACTCCTTGTTTGGATAAATACGGAGAAAGGGGAAAGTTAAAGGGAGCAGTACATGTATATATCGTCTATGGGAAGGAGGCCTTTTTTTTCAGGGGGGGATTTTTCGGTTTTTTCAAGGGGGAAGGGAGGTTGGACCAGTTGTCACTATTGAAGTACCTGGAGGGGGGTGTCTGCCGATAAGGGAAATCATTAGAATACTACAGACCCATAAAGGGGGTGGGTTGGGGGTGAGGTAAATTTCATTCTGACTCAAACAAATTGTTCCGACCCTACTCTCCCCGCACCCAGATGATAAATAGTGAGCAGTCCTCAACAAACAAGCCAAAACTAAGAACATTCGAGAGATTGAAGCCCACCGACGCAGCACCACTGTTTCTTTAGAAACTTGCCTCCTTTACTCAAAAACTATTCAGGCAAAGGAAAGGTGCATGTGACACAGCAGCAATAAGTCTTGAAAGTCACATGATGAGGCGAGATATAAAGAATTCTGTCTGTTGTTGTGTTTAGCCTAGGGATTTGCCCTTCTTCCTTCGAAGGTTATACTTTACACCCTACAGCTTGCTATGACAAACAGCAATGATTAGAGATGTATCACCACAGGCAGTTTTTTCCCATGCAGCACATTCCATCGTTGTCTACACAGGTTGCAGTTGTCTTCCTCTTACAAACCATTTCACTGCACGTCCCTTACCAGTCAAACCAGCTACCATGAGGGGTAAGGGACCCTGATCTGCGTTCCTTGGGACAATGTCTGTCGCGTCAAGAAGGATAGGATTAATGACGTCAGTATCAGTACTCTGTGCGGAAAAAACAGAATACATTCTTAAATCTTCTGTTGTTTTCACTGGTTGCAGTTACTTCCTTCTCAAGAAACCACTACACAGCCTGTCAATTACAATTCACAAAAGGAATCATAAGTAATAAGAGATTCTCAGCACACCTTGACTCAATGTTAGGCACGTGAGTTATCATCACAGCAATGATTTCAGGGTTACCACCCACTGCAGCAAGTTGTAATGAATTCCATCCTCCTTTGTTCATCCTCTCTTCATTAAACCTTTAACCGCTTGAACCTTACCATTCACAGCAGCATTCATTAGCTGCGTTCTACCTTTTGCATCTTGGGAGTCAACAGAAAATTCAAGAGAAATGCTGCCTAAAATCATAAAATTTGAACAGAAATTTGAAAATAAATGTTAAAAGAAAGGCAACAACAATAATAATAGTAATAACGGAAATATTTTCACAGGGGAAATGAAAGCATTTCAAAATATCACTCAATCCTTTTCCAGGTAGGTACTCAGTTGCTCAGAAACTGACATTGATCCACAAAAACAGGGGGAGCACGATTTTTATTTATTAAAGAGGGGTGGACAATGAAAAGCTATGCACTTCTGAGGGGAGTGGGTCATCTGTGAAACATGCTTTAATCTGATGGTGCAGGAAGTGTATCACTGAAAGTACAATTTTTATGACTTTGTTGAGACTTAAAGATAATTTTTTTTTGGTCCAGTTGCTGGGGGAATAGAAAGTACTTTGGAACAATGGGGCTCAGCATGCTGTTGATCAGTGCCTTAAATTCCATGTAAAACTATAATTAAAAATCAGCATGATCTGAATTTAGAAACAGCAGAATAGCTTTTGAAAACCTGCAGAAGCTGTAACCACCAAAGACTAGCTGCTCACCATCAGTAACCCTTATTTGAAACTCTGGCTCAAACTGCACTCTAAATTGAATACTTTTCAAACCAAAAATCCCCTTTCTCTGAAATATTTTGTTTTTTAAACACAGGTATCTTGTTCCCAAACCAATTAACTGATCCATTCATGCTCCAATTCAAGCACAAACAAAACCTTTCATCGGCTTTAAACCATTTCCTTCCCAAGATCTTAATAGTAATTCTCCTTACTGCCTCACACAATTTTTAGGATATTAGTTCAGAGAATTTGGTATTGGATCAACTGCTAATCCCCCACTTGACTTTTTCTTAATTCTCTTCACTTGTCTGCTTGATATTGTATTAAAATTGTAAGGAGAAATTCTGTTTTGGTCACCAATGGAAGTCAAAGGGTTAAACAACAATGCACAGGTAAATAACAAGTCAGTTTTAATAGCATGTTATTATTTTGATAGTGTCTTTATTGTCCATGAATACACATAGAAAGATCATAATCTGACAAAACCTGTCACAAGTGAGAAAATTACTTTATGGGCATTGCGTTATGTCACGATGGAGCGTGACATTTAATAGTTTTTGAATTACTGACTACTTTTGATCGTCTTTTCTAGCTAATTTCAAATGGTAAATTAAATAAAGCCTTATTTCAACTTAGATCTCATGCACTGACTATCAAACAAAGTTATCTTCCTTAATTTAGATAATATGTCTTGCCAGAGTAAACCGAAAAATCACGGGAATCTTCAAGAGAGAAAACATCCCAATGCGAATCGCCCACAAGTCCTACACTCTGAGACAAGCCCTTTCACACAACACAACAGAAAGGAAATGCAACAGACCAAAATGCCCCATCGCAGACACCAATTTATGCCTACAGAGAAACACCGTTTATCAGCTCACGTGCAAAGCTTGTGGCGAATATTACATCGGAAGCACGACACGATTCCTACATGATCGAACAAAAGAACACTTGACCAACGACAACTCGTCGGTAAAAAAACATCTCACAACACACCATCGCAACAACAGCCATAACATTGAAGTCAAAGTAATCACGCGTGAAAATGACCGCGTCAATCTGCGAGCGTGAGCGTATTACATCAGAAAGCACAAGCCGGGACTGAACTCCCGTGAGGAATGCACTGAACTTAACGATCTTCTATTTTCATGATTTATTTTAATGAGCTATTTTAATTAACGGTTTTAACACATATTTTAGAACATTTTATCACGCCATTAGTTTTCATGCGTCCTACTGGCTAGTTTTACACTATGCTAATTTACAGTGGCACCTCCAACGTTTAAAACCATAGCGCAAATATTTTATCGTCCTCCCTGATGATGCCGTAGAACGGCGAAAGCTCGG